TACAATGACGTTTTCTGAGCCAAAATCATTCCTCTCCTCCACGCCCCAACCCTGAGAATGCCACTCACCTCCCAGCACCCTGGCAGATGCAGGCAGAGCCTCTGTCCTGGACAAGGGCTGCAACTGTGTGGCCAGCTGCTCTGAGCAAACACACAGAGGGCTCTGACACTCGGAACCTGGGCCCCAGGTCTAGACATACAGCCTCTTGGTAAACAGCAGCCCAAACATCAAGGCCCAGCCACTAGCTGGCAGGACTGAGGATGTGTCAATGGCCTGGCTGAGGGACAAGAGGCTGAGAGACACCATCTCGAACAGGGCCAGCCACTATTCCTGCTCACTCTGCACCCCACCAGGTGAGGTCTCCATCTGCTGGACCTCTGTGATGGTCATGATGATCGCAGCGGTGGGACCTGTGGCCCTCAGCACACAGAATGGCTTGCATGGCTTAACCCCATCGCGAGCAGACACAGCAGCTGGCGTCCAGGGTCACAGAGCTGGCCAGCAGGGGCGCAGGGCCAGCAAGGCCCTTGGCTCCAGCCTCCACCACTCTTCCTCCACACGAAGAGACACAGAGTCTCTGCCCATCCCCACCAGTCACAGCCACGGAAGCATGCATCTAGCAGGAAGAGGTACAGCCGGGTCCACCCTCAGTGGGGGCTGAGGCCACTCTGCCCCGACACTCTCCTCCCACCCAGACGCTTCAACCTCCAACACAGGACACATTTATACTTGAAAATGTTCAAAATGAACTGGAGCAGGAAGTCTGCCTGGGTGCTGTTGGTCACAACACGGACACAAGCCAAGGCCCCTCACGTGGCTCCTCACAGAGAGGAAGCAGCCAGTAACCCTCCCTAAAGGGGCCTTCTGCTGTCCCCTGAGCCTTTAACAGGACATGGCCAGAGTCCAGGCCCAGCCATCCCATCCAACCCCAAGGGGATATTCCAACAACAAGTCAGAGCAAGACCAAGGGCCCCTCCATCCTTCTCGCATGGTCAAGACCCAGACTCTGGGTCAGCATTCTCCACAGAGCCCCCAAAGGCCCGTTTCCCTGGACTCCACCAACAGTGTGCAGTGGACCTGCTGCCCCCATGACTCTCTGACAACCAGACCAGCCTGGTCCCTCCTCCGAGTAGCGGGAAGGGACATCCACCCCTCCAGGCCAGGGCTAGGTCGGCCTCGTGCTTTCAGATGTTCAGGCGCTCAGAACACTGCTCAAGTCAGTGTGCTGTGTGGACGCGCTCAGCCCAGTGGGGGGCCAGCCGAAGCCCTGCACTAACAGTGGGCTGTGGATGAGAGCACCAGCTAAAACGAACTGGAACAGCAGTGACCACACAGTGTCCATCATCAGACCTGACCGTCAGTCAGGACAGTCACAGCTCTTCAAAAGCTCCCCAGGCTCAGCACATTTAGAGTTGGGTCTCCTGCCCACACAGCCAGTATTGGGGGGCCACCGGATCCATGTCAAAGACCTCCAGGTCTGCTGGCCACAGCGTGCATCCTCCAGAGTCGCTGGACAGACTGGCTTGAACATCTGACTCGCAAAGAATCCTTCCTATAAAACTAAAGTTTTCTGCCCTCTAATATGTGAAACTGCCCAGAGAACTTCCTGCCTGCCTGTTAATTACTTGTTTTATTGCCTTGCAGCAACAAAAATGTGGAAATTTACTCCACAAGTAATCAGAGTGATTAAAAGTATTCCATTTCACAGTAATTTCACTTTAAATTATTGGTGAGGGCTAGAAATCCTGTGAAGAGGCTGGAGAAGTTGGACAAATCCAGGTTTCCCTGGAAACCACAAATCTCTAAGGCATTTTCACCTTTTGGGAAATTTCCATAAGATTCTCCAGCTCCTCAGTCGATAGGTATCACCACCCCAGGAGGGATGCAGGAAGGCCCTGCCGGAGGAAGCCAGGCTCACCCTTGGCACTGTGGGCCTCCATCCTCTGAGGGGCCACCGCTCCTTCCTGTGCTGGGCCTGCACTTGCCCCTCAAGAACATACAGCTGAGGCACGGGCAGAGCTCCCCACAGTACCTCAGAGCTAATGTGGAGCTAATGAGGGGCCACACGACAGTCCAAACTGGACCCAACTAGGTTATCCAGGGCCAAGCAGGGGAGCCCGAGGCAAGGCTCTGATCCCAGACTCTCCTCAAACTGCTGAGAAAGGAGAATAACAGGCAGCCCAACAGGCCCAGGCCCTGCCACCTCAGAGGCCTCCACACAGCAGCCTGACACAATGGGGACGAAGGGGCCTTGCAGACCACTCGAAAAGCCTGGCTGTGAGGTAAGCCCAGCCCCCAGTTCTTCTCAACCCCCGATTTTCCGTCTGGCCTATTTTAAATGCCCACGCCTCCTGGCCACTCGATGGATGAGGTGCTGGAAGCTCAAGCCAATTGCACCTCCAAGCTCTCACCTCTGAAGCAGAGCCCCCACGAGTCTGCTTATGCAGAACAACTTTTCGCAGCCTCGGTTTCCCCATTACAGCACTCTGGCAGGTTGGCAGTGAGAAATAAGCGAGGCCAGCACAACAGGATCATCTGAGGTCTCACTCCCTTTCCCTCCACCGAGACTGCGCAGCTCCACATGCACAGTGGGCAGCACGAGAGTGAGCCAGGATGCTGGACTCAGCCTCAGGAGCCCACAGTGCTCACCCCGGGGAGCTCCTCTGAAGCCCTTCCTGTAGCCCACACATGCTCTGGGAGGGGTGGGAGGTCAAGCAGGCTCTGCCCAGGTAGCACCCCAGGCTGGGTCAGCCTCCACCGGCTCCAGAGACTCCAGAGGCCCCTCCAGGAATACTTGCAGACAGTGTGCAATGGTCCTGGCTCTGCCAGGGACATGTCCCAGGGCCCTGTGACCAGTGCACCTGGCTGACCTTGCCCACCAAGCCCTGTTACAGGGCAGATACACTCTTCCCAACACTGGATAGCAGCTGTCCCCCAGGAATGCAGTGGGGACAGCCAAGAGGCTGGCAGGGCTCAACCTCTCCGAAGACAGGAGGAAGGTGGCCCAAGAGGGCTCAGCACTGCCCACAAACAGGGCTTGATTCCACGCTGATCCCTGGCCCCCACTGGCTGCCCAGACCCCAGAGAGAGACTCGATCTTAATTAATGAACAGCCCAAATGGGGCCTGGTACACAACACAGGCCAGTCCATGCCGGGCCAGCAGGCAATGCAGGCTGGTCACACTCAGGAAGCTCAGGCCATGGTGAGCTGTTCATGGAAGGTTCCACACCTGGGGACCTGGGAGATTGGTGACAAGTGACAACGGTTATGAGCTGCACCACAATGCACGGTGGACCACTGGCTAGCATGGAGGGCTAGACAAAGTTGGTCAAAGCCCAGGGGGTAGGGGCCAGCTGTACCTGCTTTGCTGATGAAAAACAGGGTTCTGCAAAGGTTCTGAGAGAGGCTTGACTGACCCAGAGTCAGCTCCCAGGCACCTGCTCTAAACACGCTCCCTCCTGCCAACTCTCAGCCCACTCAGGAAAGCTCCCTGCTAGAGTGGTGCCACCTCCCCACAGCCACTCCTGCCAGGGAGCCAGAGTTCCGGAAAATCTCTGCCCATAGTAAAGGAGCCAAGGAGTGGCCTGAAGCAGGAGGAAAGAGGGCAGCCTCGGTGGTGAGGGTCTCACCCCTACCGCAGGCACATCCAGATGGGACGGACACAGAACCTGCACGTGCTGGGCCCCACATACTCTGCTGCCCATTCTGGATGCTACAGCTCAGAGAAGCGACAGAGAGGCAGGCAGCAGGGTCAGAGGGCCGACCAGATCAGACACGGGAACAGGCTGTGTAAAGGGCTCCTCACCCAAAAGGAGCCCCAGGAGATGCCACCAGCCCAGAATGTCCTCTCTCAGCCCACTGAACACTGCACTCTACCCTTCCCATGGTCCCAAAGTCCTAGGCCAGGACCTTGGCCAAGGCAGACAGGCAGGGAGGGAGCTGGTGGTGCCACAGGACCATCAGGGACACACAGGCTTTTCTGAGAATTAGGCCCCAACATGCTGGACCCCAGACCACTGGGTCCTGGATTTGAAAGGCCAGAGTCACCTCTCGGGGGAAGCAGGGGCTGCCACTCGATGCTATTAGCGGTCACAGCACCCAACACTGCCAGGGAAGCCCCCGCCTGGGGCCTTTTCCCACTAAGGTCTCTCCTTTCACCCCACACCCTACCACTTCACCTGCCAGGACACACACCCCTCAGAGTCCAGACAAGCACCTGCCTGAGTGCTTTCCCATATCCGTTCCTCACTCCCATCCCAAAATGCCTCTTTCACACAAAATGGCTGAGTCTCAGCTCTCTTCCTGCATCCCTGCTTTACTGGGATGGGAGAGAAGCACCTCACGCCGGGTGGCTGCGCACACACTCGCACATGCAATCACACGCAGTCACACGCAATGACACACGCAGACACCCATGTGCATGAGAACACACAGAAGGCTAGGCATCCTTCACCTAGGCCTGGGTACAGGGGTGGATGCTTCGGGCCCGGGGCTGTTGGCCCTGCTCCCCACCTTCATCGGCAGGAGGGATCGGAAGGGCGCAGGGCTGAGGGGATTCGGGACGGGTTATGGCCCGGCCCAGGGCTGTGGTGCGGTGGCGTTAGACCCCCTCCCGGTTTCAGCAGCCCAGAAGCTGGGGGGTGGAGAGATTGGGAGGATGGCGAACAGCGGCCAGCCCTCGGCTGGGGGGCGTCCCTCGCAGCCGGCCCGGAGCCCAGACCC